GCCGACGCCGCCATTTCAGCCCGCGTGCGCGGCCCGCCCGGGCCTCGGGCGCCCTCTGGTGGCGCTGGCGGCCGCAGCACCGCCGCGTCCCCCCGCCTGCTCCGGGCAGGGCCCGCTCCGGCTGGCACCGCCGCCTCGGATGCTTTTCGGGCTTCCTACAACTAGTTACTATGCGTTTTCTTTTGGCAGTTTTAGGACTTCTGAGTACCTTCTGCAGAAGTACAAGTGCGGTGCTCACAGCCTAGCTCCTCGGATGGGCGGTGAAGGGCACGGACACCGACACAACGTGCACACCGAGCTCCAAACCCAGGGGTATTCCAACATACTCCTCGCATCCTCTAGCTTAAATTGAGAAACTGAAGCACAAAACAGCTTCCCAGCTGAGTCACACTTTAAGAAACGTATGAAACACTAATACACAGGCAAACAACTATCATCCATTTGCTAGTTCCCTTGCACCTTCCTTCTACTCTTCAGTGTTTTCTATAATGTAGGATTCCAAACTTATCTTGGTTCTCTGGCTTGGGCATTGAAACACTGAAACATGAAGCATGGCTTGGGCAAAATTTGCATTAAACACTGAAATCTCCTACATTACCTACAATTCTGTACATTTACCATATAGTTAGTCTGCAGACTTCACCTTCCAGAAGATGGAAAAAGTAGAACATTTTAAAAATTTGAGCTTTACATCTCAGTTTCACCCTAAATAAAATTGTTATTTCCTCCCCAGCTGAACCTTCTCTTAAGTGCCCCCTGCCATGGGGAGGGCAGTCTGATACTCATCGGCACATGAGTTCAGAACTGAAGGATTCTGATTTCTGACCCCTGAAAGGAGAGAGATGTTCCAGTACTTCACATCCAGAAAACACATCAGACTGAAAAGATGCAACTCTGAAAGGAGTATAAAACTTCATCATTCCCTCTCTGGCAGAAGGCTGCAGATGTACAAGATTACAGGAAGTTTTGCCTTTTTTTTTTTTTCTTTTAATTAATGAAGGTCCTAATTGTTAACTCCTCTGCAGCACTCTTATGACTTCCCGAAACTTGGCTGAACAATCTGTTCAGAACACATTTTGGATTTTCACTTACTTTACTAATAAACAATATCACAGTTCTCCTCAAATTTCAATTCAAGAAGCATTGGGTCATCAAAACCATGAAATGGAAAAGGATTTTGTATAGCAGGTATCTGAAATACCATCTACTTGAGCAATCTAGAGTACTAGTAGCAACAAAAGCAATTAGACTCTGAACTCAGGAAAATAGTCTTTGCAACTTGCATAGTTAAGTAGTGAAGAGGCTGACAACAGAGCCTCTGCAATCTCCCTTACTGAAGGGTTTAGAAAGCACATGAAATAAATATGTCAGGAGTTGTACTGGTATGACTGATCCTCCCATAGCCCAGGAGAATATAATGCTGAACCTCAAAACTCCTCTTCTAGTCACCCACCACTCACCCTTTTACCTTTTCACTGCATTTCAGTTAGTTTATCTTTTGAAAACGCGCTCAAAATTAAGCATATTTAATTCAGCCATGGAGCAGCAGATGATCAGACAAGTCTTATAACCTTAAAGCAATGATAAAGAAGGCATTACTAGGGAAGATCGCAATCCCAAGGGAAGGCAGAAAAGAAGGACCAACAACCAATAGGTTGAAGAGTGGAGGTGAGGGGCTGGAAGGCGTACTGGTGCCAGGAAACCACAGCCATGCCACAGAGCTGCGTTTGCTGTTCCTGCCACTGAGGCAAGAAAACAAGAATAAAACTATTGGGCAATGACACTAAGAAAGTCTGTTCATTGTGGTACTCATCCAGGAGCAGGATGCTGAATATTCAGTAGCAACAGGCAGCACCAAGGACTGGCTCTTCCCAAATGCAAAACAAGTCAGGATGCAAGGGCGACCCCAGCACAGGCAGCACCCCCCCAGTGCTGGCTGCAAGCCCCCAGGCACAGGGACACAGCAGACAGAGGTGGGTGCAGGTAGCTGAACCCACTGACAATCCTAACCAAGCCATAAGACAACAATACCCAGAGAGCCCCCTCAGAAACAAAAGCTGACATGGCCAGAAAGAAACAGCATTAATCAGACACAACACCATGCAGCCGGTGGGACAAATCACCTACCCAAAGGGCTGATTCAGGATAGGACACAGGAACATCCACAGCAGAGCTCAGGCAAAGACTAATCCCCCAAACCTAAGGCTAAATTGGGCTCTGGGGGCAGAGGATGTGGGGTGGAGACCCCAGGTGAGGCTCATCAAAGCAGTTCGGACTTAATGTCCTCCAGGCCCTGATAGTTAGACAGTAACGCACCTAATCTTCATTTGAGAGAGGCAAAGTTGGCAAGTGATCCGCAGCCACACCTTAACAGTCTATGTGTTCCCCTAGATAGCTGTTAATTATCATCAGCTGAAGTTTATATCCTCCTAAGTGCAGATCACTTCATGTTAAGATGAAATCGGAGTAGAGAGTTCAGTGTAAAAAAAAGAAAAGACTTCTTTACTATGGCAAAACATTTAGGGAAAGAAAAAAAAAGCTTCAGTGATGTTCAAGCCCATTTTTGCACAAGTAATATTTGTGCTCAATAGCTTGAAAGTACAAGAAATTCTATACACTACTCAAAATCTCACAATTTTTTATTATTATTATTTTAAATCTAGAGCAAAGCCAAGCAAGACTAATAGGATGTTTCCCATTTACAAAGAATAATTTACAGAAACTTTTCACCATGAAAGACATCAAATGAGTGGGGGATTTTTTGTAATACAAACGATGATCCAACTTCAGTAAGATAAAGCATGCTTGACTTACCAATAATATCACTTCTCATGTACTTGAAATTAAGCTTTTGCTGAAGTACCGTACTGAATTGGGCCTATAAACAGAGCATTCATTTCATTAGTTTTAATAAAATTGTATGGAATCTTTGCTCAATGATTTGGGGATGGAATTTAGCTAAATTAAAATCATAATCAAATCAACCTTCCAAAACCAAGTGTAATAAATTAATTCTTGGAAATGTTCTTCATTATCATTTTCTAGCAAAGAACTCTTTAATACCAAGAGTCAAGTCAAACAGCCTATAGTTGTCATTCCCTGGCTTAATGAGCTTATCTCTTGTTAAGATGGAGCAACGTTTGTAAGAAAAGGCAGAAGTATCCACATAACGGAACCTAATTGCTTCTAATTTGAACAAAAAGTACTTAACAATAAAAGCACCTCTCTTTTTAATATATTCTAACTTTTAAGACATAAGACAGACTCACAAAAGCGTTTATGCGATACCTAGCTTTGAGACATCTGCTCGTGCTGTTTGGGTACAACTTCTTAGTTATTAGTCTTCCATACAGTGTCTGAACATACCTTCAGGGTAGTGTGTCTAGGACATATTTCTGACATACTGTTTGCACGTATTTGTTCATCTTTTTTCAGTAGGTAAAAGAATTTAATACATGGATTCTATCCTATTACATATCATATTATGTTCTGTGCAACATACGGTTGTATCATGCCACGTGGCCTCGGTGCAGAGCACAGGCCTGGTCCGTTTTGTTTACCAGCACAGAGGTGGTATTAGGTTCTGCAATTGCCTTTGGGCACAAAAAACTAGGCCCACTGGTTTTTCCAAGGACAGCATCTTTATCTCCAGGATATCAAAATGTGGGTTTGGTCATGTCCCTCAACACAAGGAGTTCAAATCTGAAATTTCTGTATCCTGTTCCTAGAAAAATGCCTGTAGCATGATGCCACAGGACAAGGCTGGAAGTATTTCTGTTATGCAGTTGAAGCTGCATACATACTCAAGGAAAAGGATCACTAAAAAAATAAATGGCAAAAGCATAAACACACTAAGATGACTGAAGCTCTTTATAACATTGAGCAGAAAATTCTGAAGAGGGAGTAGTCTTGGGTTCCTATGTCTGCCTCCAATATTGACTATGGATTTTGTGTAACATCTGTTTTAAACTGCAAACACGACCCTGAGAGTAGGGTCAAGAACATGGGACTTCTCTGGCTGAGAGGTGTTACTGAATTAAGCTCTGCACTGTTACTGCTGGACTATTCCAAGCTACCCGACATAGTTTTTTGATTTATAAGTTATCTCTGTGCAGTCCTGTAAAATGGGGATCCAAGATAGATTAACACAAAGTTAGAATACACTAAATTAAAAATAAATAATCTCATTCCATGTAAATAGCAGCATGGCAACAAAATTAACACCACCACCACCCCGGGCTTTTTTAGATTATTTAGTTCAGTTATTTATTCATTCATTGGATCTATACTAGTAATAAAAAAAAAAATAGTAATTAAGATATGAATTTATTGTTTAATTTAGCTTCATTTCCCAGTACAATATTGTGCTTATGTGTGGCTAAGCTTTGACTGATAAATTAAGGAGCAATTTAAAGCAATCTTTTCAACTTGTTTTGCATTGTGTTTTTTTTTGTTGTTGTTGTGTTTTGTGTTTTTTTTTTTTTTACTTGACACTGCTCCATCACCCTAAGAAAATCATCTTAATTACTTCTGAGGTAAATATCCCCTTTTTATAAAAATATTTCAAATATAAACATATGTTTAACTGGGCTTTGTTCTTTTATTCACAAGTATTTATCTGCAGCTTTTCCATCAGACCAAACGGGCCCAAAAGAAATGCTGTCTGAAAAGGAACAAACATACAATTAACAGACTCTACAAGTCCTCATCAAACAGCTGTCTACTTATAATACAGATGAATACTCTGGATACTTCTCAAAAGTCTTGTAAGAATCATGTCACTGAACGTACTAATTTTCCCTGCCAATCCTACATTTTCATGTAACAGTAACTAGGTTGATGTCAAAGAACTGAAACAAAATTATATTCCATATGTCATACCAGACGCAACTTGTAAAGATTAACATATTTATAAGACAAAAAAATGCATTGTAAGCAATGAAAATATGAAAAAACTTTTTATTTGTAAAACCATTTTTTCCGATTAAAGTATGCTTTTTTTACTTTTCTTTTACAGGATCAAAGAAATTAAATTCCATGCTGTAGGAAAGATCTGGGAGGGAGTAACATCTGATATTGAGCAGAAAGTCAACTATCAGTAATTTATCCTTTCAACCTGTAATGCCATGGTCTAAACAATAATCCATCTGGCTGAAGACAAGGAAGTCAGCCTGGTAACGGTCACAACAGGCCAAAACGTTCCAAGTTCAAAACTATGTGGGACAAGAACGATATAAATAACTGTAAGTTTCTAACTGAGATCTGGTATTTTTCACATGAGTCTATTTTGGCAAATTTTGAATCGTCTATCTGAATTCATTTAGACAAACTTTTTCAACCAGCACTCTTTATACCCCCTTGTAAAAATCTGAAAAGTAATGCTAATTGAAGATGAACAATTAAAAGCATGTGCTTTCAGCAGAAGACCATTTTGCAAATAAAAAGAAGTTATTAAAAACAAAACTAATGGATAGCTAGCAAACTATACTACCTTTATTATGGTCATTAACTCTGAAAGCAGCAATAAAACTCAGAATATTATTTGTCTACCTCCCATGACATATTTCTCAACAGAGCTGATGGACTAACATGTATTTCAATGTATTCCACATGTATTTTGTTATATTGCCTTTGGTCATAATGTATAATTTAGCTAACCTAATTTAATGTCAATATCAAAATAGCTTGCCAGAGGAAACAGTATGCTAGTTAAATATATACTTTGCCTAGTAGGAACATAACTTGTTATCTAAGAATCTTCACAAAAAATACTTACAATTCTCTGACAAACATTTTCATTTTCAAAATGTGAAAGCTGACTACAGATTAATTGCACTAACTTCAGATTAATAATTATATTTCTGGAATAAATTATAAATCTCCTTTTGAAGGAGCTGAAGCAGACAGATGAAATGACCCAAAATCATTGGATTGATTCATCAACTACTAATCAGAGAAGTACTCATTAAAGTATTTTTAACCAATATGCTCAATATATAACAAGTAAAGGTTACTCTGTGTTTCTAGTACTGATAATGACATGGATAAACTATGTAGTATAAAATTAAGCTTACACGGCTTATAACGTAGTACCAATAACTATCCACTATCTCAAGGCAACTTAATTTTAAATATAGCCTAACCTACAGAAAACATATTGGCCACTACTATTCAAATGATTGTTAGAGGGGAAAAATGACTAAGGATGATCAGTATTTCAGATAAACATGGTATATATGTGAACGTTTTTGGCAGAAGACAACCACACACTGTTTTCCTCTAGATTCTAAAGTGACAGAAACTGAAAGGAGAGAAAGATTATTTTAATGGCAATCAGAAACTGTCTAATTTTCTCTATTTTCTAAGATGAGGTCTATTCAAATCTGATATACCTGGTTTAACCAACAGCCACCAAAATAGCTCAGGGTTACTGGGTTCATTAAACCTGATATGGTTTCACCTCAGGCTACAAATGCATACCCAAAAACATTTTAGACTAGTAAAGTAAAACCTATTGTTAAATTCACAAGCATTAATTAGGGAGTTTTTCTAATGGAACTGCAACACAAAGAAAACACAAAGCCAGACTTAACTTTATTATTATTATTCCCACAAACTACCAAATAAAATACATTCATACATTATTTCTTTCTACCCAGATTCCTGTGGAGAAAGACATTTCAACAAGACAAGGAAAAGAGGGGAGAGGGGAACTTTAGGTTAACAAATTCCATAAAAACCATAGGAGTCAATGGAAGAAAGTTTCGTGAGTCATCTCTTAAATCTAATGGAGAATCTTCAAACAACATTAGTGTGGAAATACAAATAAAAGGCAAAGGAGGAATAATAAAAAATAACTCCTGAGAAATAATGACCCTCAAAGGTGTCATCTGCCACACATGGCACAAGGGAAAGATGCTTGGTGAAGGGAGAGAATGGGAAACATCAGTGTGTAAAAGCTTTGTAGTTACTCCACTGAAGTATCTGTACAACTGAAAAAGACACATGGAAAAGGAGGCAAGCTAACTGGAGTGACTTACAGATGCTTACATATGGCCTTCAGAACATCAAAATCCTGAGGAGTTTTTAGTCTGCTACCTGATACTTCGGTCTTCAAAACAGAACTCTGCTAAGAGCAGTGTAGGTGACCCAAGCCCTTCCCACAGAACACCGTAAGAAGCACCAGTAGACAATAAAAATGTCCTATAAAATGATGTGATGACCATTTCATGGGGATATAAAAATGGGACCATCTTGTTCAAGCATTATCTACTCTACCGATGGCTGATACACTCTAAACCCTTACAGCTTGCCAGTTTTTCATATTTCTGCTCATCAACTAACCTCCATGGTACACTAAATGCTTTGTGGCTGATATTTTTGCTGGCTCCCTCAAGACACTAAAGTTACGGATATATGCATATCGACAACATCCTCAGTTAAATTTTGGAAACTTGTTCAACATGGATGCTAACTACCTTTCAGATAAATATTTATGTTAACAGCATTATAAACTTCCAGCATAAGGAGACTGAGTGCTGACTGTTTAATTCAACAGCTATATTGCAGAGATTTGTAGAGAGCTCCTAAGGCCAGAAACACCTCAGATTGCACCCAGCTCCTATCTTTGAATTATTAACTATGTTTCAGGTTAACTACTACATTTCAATACTACTTCAGCTGAAGTACTGTGTTTCAGGTTAAAATAACTACTAGGGCACATGGCAACTAAGTTCCAAGGAATATTCTGTAACCTTCTGCATTTTTTGAAAACCACCATTTCTGAGTGCTCAGGAAAGCCCAAAATGTTTCATGATTATTTTATGCTGTTACAAGCATCTAATGAACAGCACACTGGGCTAGCTATACTGCTTGCAATGACAAGCAACAGTTGACATCTGTCCTTGCTTCCACAAGAAAACAAAGCTGTCCTACGCTTTAGCATAGAACAAGTCCCCAGCATGCTTTTTCTGTGGTGCTGGGGAACTTAAAACACACCCAAATTCTAGGAAGCAGCTACGCATAAGGATAGGGGTAGGAGGATTCAGCATGCATAATTCCTGTTCTTCATTGCCTCCTGAGCAGAACAAAACCAACCAACCAAAAAAAAAAAACAAAAAAAAACACATTCCTCCCCTGAATACATGGCAGAATTAGCAGTCAAGCCAAAGAATACAGTTACTTATAAACACACAATTTTAACAGAAATTGTGAGTTCCTGTTGAAATAATTTATCAAGATTAGATGTGATTTTTCTAAGTTCTCAAATTGTCAAATTTGATCACATTATAATTAAACTGAGTTTAGTTTCCTCCCACTTTACCACTTTTCACCTCCAGAATCACAAAATTACCTAAACATTGTCCTAAAAAACTGCTATTTAATAATCACTATTCTTATTTCTCTAAATATTTTGTTTTCCTGCACTACTGCAACAACTTCCTGATGTAGAAGAGGAAAAAGAGATAAGTGATAAACTGAATACCCACAAAACTTATTACTCTTATTACTTATCATATTATAATTAATATTGTTACTGCTCAAACTTAGTTTTCCAACATAATAAATATTTTATTTCTCTCAAGCTCAATACTGTAGGGCATTTATTCTATCTATAATTATTACATTTTTACATAATGGTTTTTAAGTTCTTTCAAAGTGAAAGGAGACAACATATTACAAAATTATCTGGGATGAAGACAAATGGATACATATTTACTCTTATGGATAAACAATCAATATTAAATGAATATTTGAGGTAGCTGTCTGCTCCAGAATTCAGAGAAACAATCAAGAACACAACGGACATTACTATATTTTTCCTTGTTACTGAATAGCCCATACCCTGCAGCATCAAGTACAAATCTGCAACGAAAGGAAACCATTCAAATTGCCATAATATGCTTTCAAGTTTACTATCACTTACTGATTTTCATGCCATATATATTCTATTACAAATCAAACTCTCAACTGACAGTCCTGTGTTAGTTATCTGAGAATAAAAGCTACTATCTGAGAATAAAAATTCTTTGATTTTCCAAGACTGTAACCAGTCATAGAAGTTATGCCCAACAAATTTAATATTTGCAGTATCAATGCAGTATTATTACCTTCACCATCAGTTGCAAAGGCTTTTGTGCCTTGGAAGAGTTTGCATAGGTTAATTGCCTGGAACTTGATAAACAATTCTGATGATAATGTACAACAAGAAATGTGATCCAAGATCAAATAGCCATCAGGACACTAAAGAAGATAAATGATAACAGATTCGTGTGCCACTCTTGTCACAGGAACCAAGTAAAACTCTTTCACCTATCTCCAGTCTTAAAAACAACACAGACAAGAGGGTATCCAGGAGAACATACTTGGTAAGTAAATGAAAGTGTGATGGAATGTGCCACACTTCAGAGTCACAACACTAAGAAAGATACATAAGAATATTAGACATCTTTAATTGCATTTCTTTTTTTTTAATCATGGCAAGTAGAGGAAATCCTTTCACTATTTTAGTTATTTATTTAGGACTGTGAAATACCTTAAAGTGGGATAAATCTAAATATATGACTGAAAATGCATCTTTATTTTGAATCTACTAAAAGAAAAGGATTAGGCTTAGAATAAATAATGTCTTCTTATGGCTGGGCATTTACATATCTGGAATAGCCAAGTAAAATACAACTCAAAAAAAATCAGTATTGCTGTTTCTGTTTTGAATAGCTTCATAAGCATCTACATTTAAGACTTAAGAACTTTATTAAGTATCACACACATACTCTGATAGAAGACTGAAGATTGTGATTGTCATTTACTAACTTTGTGAGCTATCAAAAGTGCTAAGCAACATTATGTAAAAATATTAGCATATTTTGATTAACAGTACACATGAAGATACCGTCTCATGTCATATCTTTTCCTGGTTCAGGCAAAAGTACTATGTATTATTCTTTTTCTGCTTTTGATCTTTTCAACAACCTGATTGTTTATTTTCTTAAGTCTCTTATATAGAGACGATACATATATATATATAATTATTTGTAAAGAAAAAAACAAACAACACATAACTCCTTCACTTTATTATGAACTTCTGAAAAAACATATACCCCAAAAGACAAGTATTTACATCATGAAGTACCTACGTATAAACTTTTTATGTTTAATGGGTATTACTTCCCACTAGTCGTATGAGTGGATAGACTAATTTCTCAGTTCTTGCAACCTGCTGAAGCACATCCTTTTTCACACACAAAGAAACACATTTGCTTCTGTGCAAAAAAAAAAAAAAAAAGATTAGACTGACATTAAGAAGAGCAATACAATTTACACACTGACATTAAAGAACTTCATTAGGATTAATCTGTGTAACTTCAGTATTTACTAGTTACCCCTATAGTATATATTAATTACTCTACCAGAAAAGTTTTAAAACGGCCCCAATGCAACCAAAGCTTTTAAATGCATAGAGCAAAAACTATTAAGAACAGTATAATAGCAACATAAAAATTTAAAGCATAAAAACCTTCAATATATTAAGTAAAAATCACTGGAGAATATTTTTAACATGTAAGCTTTGCTGAACACTACCTAAATTAAAATCACCTACTTTTATACACATTATTTTATTAGTAAAATTACATTACTTATCATATTCAACAAGGCCACAGAAAGCTTAACCTTTCTTTTTATGATATTAGGTTTGATAGTCATTAGTTTCCTCCTACCAAAAGGATTCATTGCAATCAGTTGTAGATTAGTGCAAGTCCTAAAATACTGTAGACATGTACTAGATGAGCCGAAAACAAAAACAACTAAAAAAAGCCAACAACAACAAAACTAAGACCTATTCTGTGCTACATGGAAGTGTAATAATGCACTTCACTTTTTACCCACAAATTTAATACCACACTTAATGAATGAGCCATAGTGGCAATTGTTCACCCCTTTACCAAGGACTCAGACCTTGAAACCTGTTGCATTTAGCTATTTCTTCAAAAACAGTAGGTCTGAAAGATCTGAACACTTTGTTTCTTACAGAGCTACTACACAGAGTGATATGAAAAAGCACAACTAATTCAATAACCACAAGTGCTTTGACTCTAACATTATTACATTTCACCATGTAGATTTATGAGATTTAAGATCTCCATTTAAGATCACACAATTTCACAGTTTCTCTCTGTCAATATACAAGGTATAAAATGAATAAATAAATAAAGCTCACAAACAAAAAGAGGAGGCCTCCAAAATGAGTTTTTGAAAACAGATGTTATTAGTTGAACAAGTTAAGGATGTAGATTCATAGCATTTCTGCATCTCACCTACGTTGTTATTTATTTATTTATTTTGTTCCCCATTTCTTTATCACTACCTTGCTCCTGTCAGAAGGATTTGGAGGATCAAGTGAAGGCAACTGAGTAGGGGAGAAGGAATTATGGGTGGAAATTATTATTAGGACAACATTTTCCATCTTATGCTCCATGCTGAAGGTCATAGTTCTGAATTGCCATGGAGCCAAAAAAAATCTGGGAAAAAAAAAAAACGAGTACAGTTATTTAACTCAATGCCAAATGACACAAAACATTCTTTTAGATATGTTAAAATAACCTGATAAAAAAGAATTATTAAAGATTAAAAAAATAATAACCAGATAAAAAAGGAATGAATAAATATTAAAGAATTATTAAAAACAGGGCAGATACATTAAAATCAAATTTTGGAAAACATAATTATGCAAAGCGCTAAGATGTCTAATAACATGCAAATTTTAATCTTTCTTTTTTTTCTATGTAGAAGTAATACTTTGTATAAAAAAAAAATAGAAAAAATAAAAGATCTTTTGACCAGCAACAGTAAGAGGACTTCACAGGTCTGGAACACACTGAAGGCTTTGAAAATTCCGGTATATCAATCACTATGGACAGTTCTTTGTACATACAGTGCATTCTACTTGTCAGCTTACACCATGAGCTCTGAATAGTTACATCTTGTGTTTTATTTGCTTCAATGCAGCATCTGACCTAGCAGGCATGCATACAGTTTATTTGGCACGTAGCCTCTTTTCCAGAACCTCAAGGCAGCTGAGACTTAGATATCTGGAAAAGCAACTGAGAGTTGCAAATTTGTATGAAATCGACATTTGCCTTTCACGTGGGATGTAGGATTTGACTGAATTATAGGAAATCTATATCTAGCGTCTCCCATACTGGTTTTGGGAGCTCTTTCAGTCTAGGCAGTCACGTCCTTAAAACAGTACAACATCTTGTCTTGAAATAGAACAGTAGCAAACATTTTCTTCCCCAAGTGCTACAATATCCACTGTCTTTGGCACATGTTACTAGTTCAAACAGAGCTCTCCTGGTAAACACACTGGTTTGGATGTTACTACATTCAAGTGCCAGTGACAACTACATAGCCTGCACTTGCCCAACACCAACACTCACTAATTGCTTTTAAGAAATGTGCAACATGCCATAATTTACCAAAGCACCAATGCCTATTCACTTCATGCTGCAATGAATTCCAAGTAAACATGGGTAGCTATGCCATTAATTTTAATAAAGTGACAGCTAACGCTTACTCCATTGCACTGAACATTTGCACAAAAACTGGCTTATGAGTAGTTAGAAAGCCCAGTAGCTCTACAGGAAGATATTTAGAATTCCTGTAACAAACCAGGCATTTGTTCACATGAAAGTGTGAAAATCCACACATAATCAACACTTTATTTGTAATAAACAATATTAACACTATGACCTCATTTGTTTTAAACCATCAGGACAGATATTAACTAATGAAATGAATAATTGATCATTTCTTAACCTAATAACTTTTTTTGACCAGACTACACAAGCACAAAGTGGCAGTTAACTCAGAGTGATCAGTCTTGTTGTTAACCAGCTACACGAGCACATGGTTGAAAACTTCTGGGCACGGAACTTTCACTGAGATCAGAATACACCCTTGTGGAGAAGTTCTTCCCAAACTGAAAAGTATATTGGCAGCAGTGAAATGGAGACACAGAACAAAATTAGAAGATTAAAAATACTGTCTCCCAACTCACCTGCCAACAATTCACATTGATAAATCACTTCCCATTATTACTGTACTTATCATTGGGTGAAATCTTTTGTATTTTATCATTTGTAAGTGCAGAAAAATAACTCCTGTTTGCTCTCCAAAGGACATCCTTCATTTAATAGCTATCATAAATGAAACTAAGCATTCAAAGGACAATGCAAACAAAATCCTACTTAGTCGCACCTCAGTGAGAGTAGAGCCTAGACCAAAGAGTATCTTCATTGCACTGAGCCCTTCTGCACTCAGCCATTTAGGGGAAAGCACCTGAAGTAATTTTGGAAGCTCCCTCTGCCAACAGCTTCCTCTGCTGGCAGGTTTTCATTTCACCGTGACATATGCCTGTTTTAGTTGTGTTTGTGTCTCCTCACTGTCTGCCAACGTACAGAGGAAATTGTCTATAGAAAGGAAATATTAAAATAGATGTATTCAGAATAATGTCAAATGCATTAAAAAATGAAAAAACTGTTTTATCTCTATTCAGTCAAAGAGCATTTAGGCTGAAAGTGATAACACATTTGTTGGTGAAAGCTATTTTGCAGGCATCAAGCTTCAATTCTGCATTGTTACAGATAAAAGTATTCATCTCTGCCCAAGAGATTAGGATTGTCCAGTTGCAGAGTCATATTACATTTTCTCACTAGCTAACCCACTATTTTTTGTTTGGTTGTTGCTGTTGTTTAGATAGTATAACACCAACAATTTAAAACTGTCAAAATTTTAAATTTTAGATCTTGTCTGGATTTCTGCAATTAATTTTCAAATTTACCAAGTACAACAGTTAGCGTAGCAGACTTTTACTGGCTAGTGTGCCATAAGAATGTCTGTTCAGATTCTAGGTAGCAGAAGACAAACCTTAATCCAGAATAAAAAAAAAAAAAAAAAAAAAAAAAAAAAGATGAAAATTATACTTGAATGGAATTGACCAGGCATCTTATTTTAATCATGGTATATTTACATGGTGAATGTAGCAGTGAACTCCCAGCACTTAAAACTTTTGAGTTTGACATGATTTTGCTCTCAATTCTCAACTGAATATTCAGAAAAAAATATGTATAAATATTTTACCAATTAAAAGCTATTAATAAATCATATGTAATGAATATGTGAGAAAGCTTGATATTGACACAGGTATAGGGGAACCTGAAATAAAGACACTGGGTACTAATAAGCCTGTTTTGCTTTTTGAGCTAGGGCAAAATCATTTAATCTAGTCTCCCATGGCAATGAACAAAACAGTTTAAAAGTAGAATTTTAGTCTTGTTTTAGGGATAACCAGCACTAGCACACTTAGGCTCTGTGAAAAGGAAACACTTTCTCTCAGCCTACAAATTTCAGGAAGTTTTTAAATAAAATACATGTATTCTTTTCAAGAGCAGAAAGCACAGACCTCTCAGGAGTAGTTCATAAAAGCCAAGAGTCTTGCAAACTCTCCCAGAGAGAAGACAGCACAGAACTTAAAAAAGAAATAAAAGAGCTTAAGACATCTGTAAAGAACATTAGTTTCTCTTAAAATATATTCTTAACATGATGGTTGCACATGCTGATTCAGGAAATGAATTTAACAATTATCCATGATTTTTCTGCATCTGAGACACATTTGACGTTGCTATTGATAAGTAACCAATTATGTTTGCAAAATATATTTTTAATGGAAAATGGGAAATTAGTAGCATTTGCCTTAAAATCTGCTGTTTGAAGTGGCATATATTAAAAAAGTTTTTTTTGAAGTATCTTCAGTTACTCCCTCTTCAGAAACAAAACAAAACAACGCAAAACAAAAACAAAACAACAAGAAAAGGCAACTAACTTCTTAGTATTAAAAATAACATAAGGCAAAATACGGGAGTTACTATTCTTGATCTTTTGTCTCTTAGTCTTACCTAACACTTTTGAAAATCTTAGTCTTTCTGGTTACCTGTTGTGAATAAGGTCTTCTAGCACAATAAAAGCCCTGCTTCAGACATTAAGAGTGTCCTAGAAAACCTATTTTGTGGCCAGTTAGAGGATAACTAAGGAATCTGTTCTACATTTCACAAATAAAAAAGAGGATTTTAAACTATCACCTCAGTCATTTACTAGCAGTAGGCATTACATGTGTTACAGTAACTAATACAATAACCAGAGACCCGAACTACATTGTGGTAGAGGTTATATCAACCTGGGACAGAAAGATAAAGCAAACAGAGGAGAACAGCAAGGGACACAGATGGGCATACACATGAGCAATTAGACAGTGCTCATCAGTATGAACAGCAGTGTTTCCAGAGCATTATCAACTAAGCAACGGTAAAGTTTCTGTGCGTATCATAGAAGAAAAAAGCGTGCTCACAGAGTTTAAAGGCCATATTTGCTGATGGACAAAGAGTTTCTCCTAAGCAAGGAGTACAGCAGGGAAGAAAACACCAGGGCGCTATTTTACAAATATTATGTTAGCGTGATAGGTTAGAATCAGTTAACCTCTGATGCTGAAGGAAAGAAAACAGCCCCAAACAATCTGCAAGAAAGGTCAGTAGTACCTCTACACACGCAGATTCCAGAAAACTTAAAAACACAACAAGCAGTACCCCCATTTAGAAATGCCGTGAGGTAATTTCCTTCCCTCCTCCTACCCACTTCAATACTACAGCACTGTGTCACTTGCCATTCATTTCGTGTTACAATGAAAGCATTATCTTTGAAATGCAGCTATGCCATAGTGCTACGCATTTATTTTCCAATCACTGTATACCATTTAGTTATTTCAGAACTACTTAGTCATGACTGTACTTTGCACTTCCTTAAAGATAAGAAGTAAGAAAGAAGGGATGCTCACCAACGCACAAGATAACAATGATTGTGTTCTACCAACTCTGTATTAGATGCAAACATTAGACGAGCAAACAGTCCAGTATAAAGAAATGTATTTTTCTATATGTCTAAATGTTAGACATATTTGAATTATAGTTTCATTATTTTCTTAGTACTTCCCTTCAGAGGCAGTAATGCTGCTGAGCAGGCTTCCTATAAACTCAATGCCAAAAGCACTCATCAAAGCCACAACGTATACGGAGTTAGATAAATATGAAAATGAGATTGGAAGTAGCATCTACCAGATCTTCTGATGTTTTTGTGTAATAATGAGTTAAGAACTCTTCAATTTCATCCTGGAATCAATGTGGGACCACTTAAGCAACATGTACTGGAGCTATGTATCATTACTGTCTACTTTCTGGTCCAAGAAGGCTATACCCAACAAATTATTTTCTAGATAACTTGTTAGACCTAGAAGTTTATTAAAAAAATATATGGCTTATTGCTTGAAAGGCCATAAAGTGGTTTAAATAGACCTAAGGGACAATGATTTATCTACCAGAATCAACTTTCTCTTCAGGCTGCTGCAATAGAGCATGGAAATGTGAAAAACGGGATTAAAGATTCAAGTTATCTGCCTAAATCCCACAAATGCTTTATCATTTATCAAGAATGACACTTCAGAACTTATCTCGATGCTGTGACATACCATAAGATTGTACAATCCACTTCCACATTTTGCATAAAGTGATGTTAAAGATTTCATTTTATCAGTTGTTGGAGCTCGTATCATCATTTTCACCTGCTGAATCTGCATATTTGATACCAATGTTAACAAGTAATACCTGTGGAATTTGCAACTTTAGTAGATGAGACAGAGGAAAAAAATACATTATTCCCCTTTTAGGTTTCAAGAATTTAAATGTAAGGTGGCTAAGGGGAATATTCACATTGCCTAACTTTACCTGATAAGCTTCCCTCTAACAGAAACTCCCTTAAGTGTCTTTCAGAGAAGAAACCCTATGTTAAGTCTTCCAAACTACCCCTCTAAAGGCACTGACCTTTCTACTTCCTATCCAGGAACACCAGCCTCCAAATGTTTGTAAGTTAGGCTGTGCATATTCCCTTGCATTTTGTCTCAACCTGAAAGCTCTCTAACAATTTAAACTCATTTTAGTGATGGCTGCCAGGATCATGCCCCTGACCACACATTCCCATCACCTCTTTCACATCCCTGATGCTTTTGTGACCCCAGTTTCAGTTAGTTCAGGGAGCCAAAACAACTGAAAATTAGCCTTACAAACACTTACCCTTTCAAAGCCTACATTTTCAGTATTACTGAGGGTGCCAGTTGTATTACAGGGCATTTCACAGAGAAAACATATGATTAGCTGCAGACTACTATATATTGTAGTAACAGGATTATTATTTTTTGGAGCAAGAGCAAAACAAAAAAATAACTTTAAGCAAACCAAAAACACTAACACTCAAGGTACGGTATGCAAATACCATGTATGCCTACAAGCCAAGCATCTGTATAATGCATAATTAATTAAACACTGCATTCATAGATTCATAAAGGTTGGAAAAGACCTCCAAGATCATCTGGTCCAACCATCTCCCTCCTACCAACATCACTCACTAAACCATGTCCCCAAGCATATCCAATCTTTCCTTAAACACCCCCAGGGACGGTGACTCCACCACCTACCCAGGCAACCCATTCCTAGATCTTACAAAAACAGACATAATAGTTTAAAAGTAAAAAGGCCAGTATGTATGTTAAAATAAAAGGTTCTTCCCTCCTCAACCATGTAAACCCTTGAACTCAGACCTGTAAATGCTACATTATCTAATCCCTGTAGAACCACTGAAATTCCAGGGTTCTGGCATTTCAAAGACCATGTCCATGAGGAATCCGAAAGTTTTAGTTAAGTGAAAAAAAAAATAAAAAACTCATCTATTTAATACCCATTCATAACCAATAAACTGAGAAAACAATATGCCTCCCATACAAAAGCGCGCCAACTACTACACATCTGCAAAAGTGAACTTGGCTATGTGTGTAACCACTTGACTACTTATCAGAGTTAGGAAAGTATTATTTCCTAGGGAACAAAAAATATGAAATTGTCTCAACTACTCTGTAAGAAGACCAACATCGCCACAGGCAGAAAGAATTCCAGGAGCCCCAACTTCTTCAGGAACAGACCTTTCACGGAGTTATATTTTTGTTCTGCTTGATCTGTATGGCTGGTGAAGGGTCATCTTTGAGGCACATGGAGAGAAGTGTCTTTATTCACTAGAAAATACTCACTCCTTAGTCACTCACACATAGAAACCAACTCTCACCAATCACCTGCTTTCCAGCTGTAAAAACTCTAAGTAGTCTAATCCAATGCAATGTTATAGCTGCTAAGAGTTCTTCCTTTCGTCCACACAAAAGTCTCATTGTGTGGAACTTAAAAGATTTGAAGTAAACGAAAGATGGGTCCAAGCACTGACAAGAAAACAAAATACTGAAAAATTGATCAGTGAGCACTATTCAATCTTAGTTCTAAGGTAGGCTGTAAAATATTATGTATCAGTTTAAAGTTAATCATAATGCTCACACATAAGAAATTAAGATTAAAGATGCACTTGCTATCTTAGCTCTGGCACATTCTAATCTCTGAGCAACTCTTTCTGAAAATTAATCTAGTTGATATAACTTCAAGAAAAAAAAAAAACATTTTGAAGACCACAAATCATCAATTTGTTCATAAAAAGTATTTAAATACATATTATATATGCAAAGGATTTCAGCATATACAGTAGAAAAAGCTCTTTCTGCAATGAGCTCAGCAGGAGCAGGATTTTGCTCCATGTGGAATCTAATTGCCTTCAGCCTGCCCACAGACTCATTACAACAAAAAGGCCCCAGTGAACCAAGTAACCAGTCCCTTCAGAATGTACACAGCTTCAGGTAAAACTATATACAAAGTTGGTAAATGGTTGAAAATCTTTTATGTTCATCAACAGTGCCTTGAAGATTGTGTTGGTAAGAACAGTAGAAGAAACAGACAAACAGAAAAACATCCTGAGACATCCCAAAGCCCAAGCCCTTCACACAGATTCATAATAATTCATTTTAAGATTGCTTATTAACATTTCCGTGGTTTGTTTAATCAGCCAGATAATCTTTAAAATATTAGCCAATATTTATCTCTGTTATTCAGAATAGACAAGTACTCCACTGAGATGGCAGAACTTTCCAGAATAACCTTTCAAAGGCAACGAGCTATGGGCATAGCAGATTCCCTTCCCTTTTTCTTAAGTGATGTGAAAGTTGCACTGCAAAACTCTGAGACTGAACTGCCACAACTTCCCTCTGTCCCTAGGTCATCACTGGTCTAAGTATCTTCTGATAATACACGGAAAACACACTGATAAACACCTATTAGATATGGTTTCCTGCCCCGCTAATAGCACTGCAACGGTGCAGTCTTATGAAATCATCTGAAACACTGTATTTTAAATGTTAACAAGTATGTTTGAATTTGCTTTAGGAAGTAGATTAAGTCATTTTTCGGCAAAAATAAGGATAGAGAGCAAACTTAGATCTACCACAGTAGAGTTAAAAGTTGGATGATAAGGCCACAGAAAAAGCCTACTCTCTCCATCCTGCTCCTACATATACTTGGCCTGTAACACCTCCTTCAAATCCATTTTTTATTATTATAATTATATACACAAAAAAATTACCTGTTAAAAAACTAGCACACATTTAATACGTTCTTCTGAAGAAAGGGAATACAAGTAAATCCAGTATACATTAATGAGTGTCCAAAAAACAGTACCAGAATCTCTTTCAATTAGAAATGCACCATTCAACATTTAATTCATAACGCTTTTTCATTCTTCAGTAAGTATCGCCTTCACATGAAACTCTCTGTCCTTCCAACAGCTAAAAACTCTGTGCAGGTTGCTTATCTTCTCTGCACATCAAATGCAGTTGGAAATTTGCTTGAAAATACTTCCTACACTTAGCATATTTATAAGTTACAGAAGATCAAATATTTGAATTCGAAAAGCTGGGCCCCAGAAACATTTTCTACTGCCTTTCACATCACTGCTTCTGTCAAAGCACAACGGATATCAATACCACCTTAAATACGCGTTCAGGTCCTTGTAGAATGCTGAATTATAGATTTCACCAAGTGGCATAAAAAGATTACATTTCCACTGCTGTTAAACTAAGAAAATTCAGACAAGCTTCTCTTTCTTAATATTTAAAGATACCATCTCCTACCGGAGAAACTTAAAGCTATGCATTGGTTTTATCTATTTTAAGATCATTCTGAACTACAGCCATCAATCCAAAAGAAGCACATTTTCTAAGTATTAATTCTTTGACAGAAGTAAGATGTTGGGAAGGTACTTAACTCCATTAAGATGCACGTAGAGTAACCTAGCACTACTGAGATAGAGGTCACTGCAGAATAGTATTAGTTAGTTACTGTGTTGAAATATTTCACCTCTGCCATCACCTTGCAAATTCTGATTTGATAATGCTGGTGGATATCAATTAGCACCTCATCGCTAGTTGATGACACACAATGACTTAAGGCTAATTGGCACCTAATACTCAAATTTAACAAAATTGCCATGGAGAGGGGCATCAGGCAGAGGCTAACTAACACGGAGAACTAAATAAGCAAAGAAATGTACACCAATTTTCAAACTCTCACATGCTAGTTTGCCAGACAACCTTCACATTCACAGACTGGGATGCTAAGTAGCATGAAACATGCACAGTCTGCATGGATGCCTACTCAGATCTGCCACCAAAACAGCCTAGATTGGTACTCCCACCGCTATATTCATGGGACAGGCCACAGCATTTGTCATTCCTCAGCTTCTTCCACCAGAAAATCACTTCCATGATGAGCAGGTCTGCACCAACAATACTCAGCTTTGAAGAAAATGCTTGATTATGCAGTACAGTAAAACAATGCATGATTCATAACAATTAAATTTACTCGGAAAAGGAAAACATAATCCTGCAAATCCTTATAACTGTTTAACACAGCTCTCAGAGAAGATGGAAAGCTGAAAAAAACAAGTAAAAAATGAATTTACAAGTGGTTCTGGAGCTACAGTTCACCTCCAGATCTTCTTGTACACGGATGATGATTCCAAGTCTAGATAATTCTCAAACCACCTGTTGCAGTTGAAAATACTTTATTCCATTCACTTTACAGTATAACACACTTAATCTCAATGACTATTTAATCTGTTTCCTCTGAATTTAGAACCTATATTTCAGTATGCCTGAAATATTTATTTCTTTAATGCTTAAGTAGTTATTACAGAAACATTAGCTGGTTATAGCACAGTATTATAATTCATCAAAATAGCCAAGCCCCATATATTTAGAACATTCATTTCTTTATCACATAAAGAGATTGGAGTCATGTAATTCTGTCATGCATATGACCACATCATTCCATTAAAGTTTTTTGTGGCTGAATGTCTATTTTCATGAAGGTCTTTTATAAAAATGTCATCTTATCTCCAAAGTAAATTTTGGCATACAAATGATGGGTGTATTAGAATCCATTAGAATTCAAAAAGCCAAAAGAACTGTGAGTTATAAATTAACACAGATTTTCTGAAAACCTCATAGAAGCACTCTGCATTAAGACCTCCACGTTGGTTATCTGTCAAAGAATTTTTAAAAGACTAACTGTAAGATACATTTTCTGCACTATATTATGCAGAAACATATACTTGTTTTCTTTTCTTTCATTGTTTAGTGTCTTCTAAACTCCATACCTTTATCTACACCCATATTTCTCAGAAATATTGTATCTTAACTCTTTCCACCTTCCCTCCCTTCCTATTTACTGGTGGGTTAAACTGGTGTTACGAGTTTTCTTTAGAACAGTTTGTGACCACCACATAACTCCTCAAGACATACAGGACCTAAAACTCATAATGCTGCAAATGCTTAGTAATCTGAAATATGCTATTGAAATATTTCTTCATAGTTTGCGTTAAACAAAAGTTTCAACTCACTTTTTAATCCAACATGATGGCTAGTTTACTACTAAACCATAAAGAACTGTTTTACATGACATCCACATTGATTTCTGAATCACTTGCCCTTAAAACTGGCTTAAATTACATTTTTTTTTCATTTTTAACGTAAACACCAAGAATAATCAGCATTTGTTTTCCAGAATGAAGCATCATGTTGGCATCTATCAACAACAACTACCAAAGGCAACAAAAAAGTTATGTGAATTTTAATTTGCAGGGAGAATTATTTCAGGTATGTCCTGTTTCAAAATAACAATACCCTGTTAGGGCTTGCAGGCCTCAGCATAAGTAGTTTGGGAATGGGAATGACAGCATAAACAAAGCACTGAACAAGGTTTATGAGGGTGGAGTCCATTATTAAACACTGGCTCAAAATTCTTCTGTATCCTGCGGCTCCAAACTTTCAGAAGGTGCAATAGTAAGCCCTGAGCAGACAAACTAGAGCAGACTTGGCTCTGTAACCTCTCTTCCTCAACTCATGAGCCCATCCAGTTATTAAAACTGAATGCACTGTTGTTCCCTATGAAATACTCAGAAACAAAGAACTAAAGCACAAAAAGCATTCCCCTTCGGAGAGTATTAACTTCCGCTTTTAATAACTAACTCATCGTCCCACACGATACAGTTCAGCACTGTACGACACATACCACTTCTGCCAGACAATGCACACTGCAATAAAACTCAGCCCAGTGAAGAAAGTGAAAGCTGCGTTTGTTCAGCATGTTATTTTGCGCAGCGAACTGTAATGCTTCTGCCTGCCATTTATTGTTTACTCTGTCAAAGGATTATTAAGAATTAAGCTACATTTGGTGATTTTTTGAGAATTTACATGCAAAGTGACTGACACTTGATATTTAGAGTCTATTGGTGGACTCTGACCCTTCATTTACAAGTGACTCATTTGACTGTAAGGATCTCTGATGTGGAAATGCTCAGATCCGAATCAATTGCAGTTTTTGTCTCGGGTAAATGTTACTTGGCAATCCAAAAGAAAGGAACAATGCTCAAACCGAGGTTCACATAGAATAGTCCTCATATGCTTAAAGAATTCCTTTTACATGCTTGATTTAGTTCTAGTCGGCGGATTTATGAGTCCCCTTCTCCTAATAACTTATCCCAGTGCACAGTGTTTTTAAACGCACACAACCAGCAGTTAACTCTTCTGCTGCCTAAATGAAAATGAACTGACATGACAGACTTATTTAAGTAAATAAAAATGCAGACTTGGTCCTGATAAGGCTTTTGATTCTCTGTGGGAGATGGGGATAGGAGAAAGAAGGGAGGATGAGAAAGGGAAACATGTAGGTACAGTTTGCAAATCCCTGCTCCATAAAGACAGGATTGTGTATAATGAATGACCATTCCTACATGAAATCAGCTCTGTGCAAATCCTGCAGTTTGCCTCTGACAGGGATGAAGTAAAATAGTATATCTTTACCCTAGCGAGATTTCTTCCCTATTAGAAGGCAGATGCAGCATTTCTATAAACAAAAACGTCTCTAGCCGTACCTTGTGCCAGTGCTTGCAACATGTGGAGCTGAAGCAACAGAAACGCCCACCATCCCCGACAGAAGAAGAAACAGAAGTTTAACTTCATCATCATTCCGTCTCTCCTGCTATTCCTCCGGGCAATAATTTCGCGATCCACCTTTCTTTCAACCATTATTGCCTCACTGATCCCCAACAGATCCGACTGCCTGCCACTCCTGACAGGGCTTTGGTCATTGCTCATTCCGCACCCCGAGGCCGGGCTCTCTTTGGTGGGTTGGGAACATCGCCAGCTGCCTTTGCCCCGGAGTTTTGGGGGAGCAGAAGCCCCCACGTCACGGCAACCGAGGACTCTTTGATTTGTGCTCACTTTGCATGCAACCCGAAGGCAGCACTCTGTGTGCCTCACTGTATTACAGTCGCCACCTAAGTCAATGTTTCTTGTGGAGGTATTGATTGCGCCAAAACAACCAGTCAGAAATGTGAAACACATGTTTCTCTGCGCTGTCACATCCAATGCCTTCAACAGAGAGGGAGCAAGTTTATTGGCGTCAGTATTTCAGTAAATCCGGATCCTTCAGCACATTTGTAACAGACACAGAGAAAGCCTGATCCATGTTAGCCACCAGCAGACGATCCAGAGTACCTTTCATACCGCAAGGATGACGGAAACTGTTACCCCTGTGATATTCATGAAGCGTGATGAGTTTTCCGGCATGTGTCCCATTCTCCCGCAAAACCTTGCTGTGAAAGTGTTAAATTCTTGTTCTGGGGGAGGGGGGGGGGGGGAGAGAGGGGGAGCACCAAGGAAAAAAAAAAAAAAGCTAATTGAAAGTATCTCTATTCCTTGTGCTAAGGATTTATTTCAGACAATTTCAAGATTAGCCATGCAGACAGAGTAGTCTCCAGATATCCCCGCAAAGCTCTGCATAGTTTATAGTAATCCGATTTTCCTCTGGATACAAATCTCCACCGTCAACAGAAGGCTTTGGAGGGTCCTCGAGCAGGTAACTGGGGCGGCTCTGGCCGCGGCTCCAGCCGTGCAGCCCGCCAGCCACAGGCCAGCGGCGGTGTCACTTCAACTCTCAGCCGGAGGTAGGGAAAACCTCAGTTGGTCGCGTTTCCCTCCTCCTCCTCGCAGACCGGTGCCGGTTTCTTTCTCGCTGGGAGACCGCGACAAAAAAAAATAAAATAAAATAAAAAAATCACCTCTAACACGGAGAGCGTTTCGCTTCTGGCCGGCTGCGGACGCAGCGAGGAATGAAACCCTCCGCTGGATGGTCTGCGGTGCGGGGGGAGGCAAAATCTCCCGAAACAAGCAGCAACAAGGTGAAATCCTCCCAGCTTCGCCCGGCTGGGCTCCTGCTCTCCTTGTTTACGCAGCCCGGGGATCCTGCTCCTTCCTCCGAGCGTCTCTCCCGCACAGAGGCTGTAAACACAAGAGGGAACGCGCTTGCCACAACGGCAGCGGCGGCGGCAATAAAACCGTACCCAAAAAAAAAAAAAAAAAAAAAAAAAGGCAGCAAGCGCCGAAGGTTTTAACGTTCAAACAATGCACCGGGTATTGTTTCAGTCCCGCCTTCCGTAAAAGTTTCGTGCGAGATGCCCTCCCCCCCGCATCAAAAAGAAGGGCTGCGAGGAGCACCCCGGAGAAACGCCAAGTGCAAAACAAAGCACCTAGGCTCCAAGTTGATCAAACAAAAATCCTGCCAGCTTCCTCCCCCGAACAGCAGCCTGAACTTTTCTCGCCCCTTCCAGCCCAGGCTCGGCGCCCACCCTCTCTCCCTCACCCACCCAGCCGGGCGCCCACCTCGGCGTCCCCGCCCCGCTCCCCTCCCTCAGCCCCTCAGCGCGCAGCTCGCGGCCGCGCCTCAGCCCACCTTCCCCTGCCCTACACCTAAACGGGGCTGTGTGGGGGCACATCCTCCGCTGAGGGAGGGGACGGGTGTGTGGAACTGTCAGGACTTGGTGTGGGGGGGACATTTTAACACAGCTTTCCACAGGCGAGGAGGAGGAGGAGGACGAAGCCGCCCCTCCTCACCGCCCGCCTGCCCGGCGGGACCTGCCCGCAGCCTCCCCTAACGCTCCCGCTCCACCCCTCGTTGGCTCTGCCCCCAGCCCGCCCGCTGATTGGGCGGCGGCCGCGCGGGGCGGGAAAGGGCGCCGAGGAGCCGCGCGCAGCGCGCGAGCCCTAGCGGGACGTTACCGCGCGTGCCCGCGCTCCGCTAACGGCCGCGCGCGTGCGCCCCCCTGAGGGAGGGGATTTTTTTTTTTCCGCTCCCGCGTGCCCGCGCTCCCCAACGGCCGCGCGCGTGCGCGCCGGGCTCGGCCGTTGCTCGCTGCGCCCCCTTAGGGCCGTGAGGCGCCGCTGCTCCGGCTCGTGCCTCCCCAGCGGCTGGTTTTTTTTTACATATTTATATTTATATTTTTTCAGCGGATGAGGGAAATGGGTGTGTGACAACAGGAGTGAGCGCCCGTCCTGCTCGCTCCTCTCAGCCTGCGAGGTTGGCAGCGAGGTGGCTGAGCTCAGTTTTGCTTTATTTAGTGGGTGTAAGGAACGTTTGAGTCAAGCCTGGCAGACAGCTTCTGCTCTTTTTTTTTTTTTTTTTTTCCTCCTTTTTGACAGGCTGTCTGCTCATGATAGAGTCAAGTAGGCAAGCACAGTGAACCACCACATCACATCCAAGGTCACTTTTTTTGTGTTAACACTGGCATTTTGAGTGTCTGCCAGAGGCACGTTGTTCAAGACAGCACCTTCTTCACGTGCCTTCGTCCCTTTATAGCAGCAAAAAGGTGAAGGTTCTGTTTGGATGCCGCCCCAGTGTTACATGAACAACACGTACAAGCAGAACCAGCCCTGTGCAAACAATGCGTGCTCCTCTCCAGGACTTCCAGCCCATGCAAACTGCTGCTGCTCAGCCTTCCCTCTACACCCTCCCTTTGTATCTCACAAGCACACCTCGTCTGCTAGACTCTCACCACCACCAGCATCTTCTTCTGGTATCTCACAGATTACAGAAGTTAAGATATCCGTTTGCTGTCCTTGATTTCATCTTCCATGTGTGTGAAAGCTGGTTGCTTCCCATGCTTAAGAAGTTGCTGTACTTAAATGACTTCCCTACTCGGATACCTTCTCCTAGTAACTCAAAGGAAGGACATGTAGTTGAGTTATCTCTTACTCGTAGCCCCCTGCATGTAACAAGCACTTCAAAGATGTCTCACACCTCACACTTCCGTGTGTGTGTAGATCACCTGAATAAGTATCTACAGGATCAGGACCCAGTGCTCACGATTTTCCCTGCATGTTGCCCTGTTGCCAGAACGATACAAGGAGAGCCCAGATTGTTTTTGGCTGTGTTGAGAACAGGCCTTGAGGAAGTGCCACTGTATTTGTAACGCCCAATGCGCCATTCAGTAATGGTAGCCAGCCTACTGCTGCGTGAGGAGTCTGCTTTTCTATTCAACTTGTAAGTTTGGGTGGTAAGTCCTGTTTCATCTTAACTAGAAATAAAAAGTATATTTCATTGTGGTTTTCGTTTGTTTTAAAGTGTTATTAATATAGTAGGATAGGGCTGTTGATTTGTTAGCTTAAATATTAGTTTAAAATGTTACATTCAGTTTGATATGTAAGAAGGTACTTACTGCTTACTTGTAAGTTATAAGGGAGGCAAATTGAGGATATTAATGTCTAAAGTCTGCTGAAAGGCTCATTGTCAAGCAGTTAAGGTTTACAACCAAGATACTACAGAAGAAAAATACTAATTTCTATTACCGTGCTTAATTTAAGTGAAAGCTTGTTTCTGATTGGAATTAATACATTTTTCTAGTAGCAACTCAAATCTGTTCAATGTATAAATGTAAGAACAATAAGTTAACTAGTATTCACACTCAAGCCTTGCTTTTAAATCATTATTTAAACATGGTAGTGTTGTTTTTTGTTTGTTTGTTGTATTGTTGTTGTTGCTTTATTTTTCCATAGTCTCCAACTCTCCAACTTCTTATTTAGGGTGAAATGCTTTTAGTTGGATATTACCTTCTCTTTAAAAATAATACAAAATCCCTTTGCTGTGTTACAGACACTTGTGGTTGTTTTTCTGTTTGCTTTGGTTGCAGTACTGGTACTTAATAGCGGTTAAAGCAGAAAAATGTCAGTGAAGTCTTGTTATCTAGATCAGTAAAAGGATTCCACCATTTCAGTAACTCTGTTTTGTGCCTGCTTCACTTTCTTGCATACATATAGCAAGTGAGGAATTAACCTGTTAAACATGCAGCAGAAAGATTGGTAGGAGAACAGCTCTGCCACAGGCTGCTAGTGAAAGGCAACTTTCTAGCATAGAAAATAAGCCATGGAACTACTTCCAGAGGAAAATCTCACCAGTGTTGTACAAACTTGATTCTTATTTTCATTCCACAAGTGTATATATTTTCTAAGGTATAGCCTATTGACTTTTTTCTAGCATTTGGAGTTTAGCCAAGCTCCTTTAGAGTGAGCGTTCTCATATACAAACATTTATGCACTTTTTGAGAAATGCAGCAGGTTGTTTTGATCCCGTGCATCACCTGTTGTAGTCTTTGGTTCCTGCAGTCATTGATAGGTAATATCAAATTAGGGAAGCGTGGATTATACCATCCTGAAAATTTTTAACCTGGAAATTTGTTTTTTGTTTGTTTGTTTTGTTTTGTCTGTTTAGACCTTTAAACTGAGATATTATCTTGCATTTATTCTTCTTCAAAATATATAATTCATTGATTGATTTTGTTCTAGTGTATGGTATTTTCCATGGGTGCACTTCTCTGGAGGATGACTTACTGTACCTGAAAAACTTAACTGGTTAAAGAAAAAAAAAGCCATAGCAAAAACTACGAAAATTAAATGGAGGGAGATATGAATACACTGACAGGTTAATATAGTCTCACAATCTAGATATTAATATTCTATTAAGACCGTCATCAGAAGTGTTGTAGAACAATTAGTATTTCTAGTCTGAGGTAGGAGGACTCCTACTGAAGGTATA